TTTATCTTTTATCCCAATGATTTATATTTAAATTTAAAAAAATAATAATAAATAATTTATAAATTTTAGTTTTCTTTTAAAATGGAGAAGCAGGTATAACTACGCCCCAATGAATATTCCAACAATTATTATAATCATAAATTTTATTATTTATAGCCCTTCAAGAAAAAAATTTGATAATTATTTCATTTTTTCACGTTTATATTTTAGAGAGAAAAATAAGTTGTATTAACAATTTGCATAAAAAATAAATCTTTTAATTAAAATTTAATTGATTGTGAGATAGTACTATAGAGATCGTGGCGTACTTGGGATTCTAGAGTAGTTTTTTTTTCTTGAATCATAGATTTCTTGAATAGAATTTTTCTATGCTCTATGTAGCTGATGTTGAAAGTCACAATTGGTGATGTTTACCTTTTTCTCTGCATAATATGGTTGGCACAGACTCTGTAAATTGAGGACAGGTACTCTGGAGCGAGATATCAAAAACTGGTTATGCATGCCAGGGATTTGGAAGCCATAAATGCTGATTAGACAGAGGCCCTGAAATGATCTTCTCCTTTGAGGAGGAGCAAGTGATAAGGTGAGTTAGCGTACAACAATCGAACACCAGGGACTCGAAGCGTCTTCCCTAGTGGAAAGCATGACATCCAATCCAAACCATTCTTATCGTCGTTCTCAACGTCATTCTCGGTCAAATCAAGAAATGCACTCGTCGTTCTCCAACATAGCCAACTGAAGCGATCGAGAAGGCGGGTCGAAGGGAAGACGCGAGGCTGGTAGGGATTTTTAACAAGAATAGTAACGGAGTGTTAGAATAGATAAAAGATGTGGATTTTAGGTGGTATATTAATAAATATAAAAATTTAGATGTTGAATATGTATTTATAATAGTTTGAAGTATTATGTATGTAAAAATTCCTATTAATTTTAGTCTCTAGGCTAGTATAAATGATGCACGTGCCCTAATAATGCAATGTAAATAAAATTTTAAAAATAAAAAACATTATAATAAAATTTAAATTAAGTTGCGAGATGCTATATTAATGAATTTATCTACATAAAAAAAAATGAAACCTTTTAGTTTGAACTCAACACAACTTTATCAACATCCAAAACGTATCCAATTAAATATTTACAAAAATCAAAATATAACAACTTATTAATTGTGGAAAACCAAGAAATGTGATAAATGAATTTGAAGTTTATTGAAATTTATCTAAAGAAGGTTGGAAGCGAGGAGACCAAATGTATTATTCTCTTTGTGTAGTGACAAAAAATTCATTTCATCTTTATTTTCTTCATATATTTTTGAAATTACACAAAACAAAACAGTCACCACAAAAAAAAAAAAAAAAACAGAATGACATTGATAACTTTATGCTAAAGAAACTTCATATTTTGTAGAGGAAGACAAAAACTACAAAAATATGTTGGTGGAAGCAAATTATCAACAAATATTTGGTTCTCTTACGAATCACGTAAACAAACTGACCTACTTTCAGGTTTACAGGAACTAAATATATGAAACGACCAAGCAAAGCTTGAGAGATATAATTTAATTGAAAGATATAACGATAGCCAAACTAAACAAAGCGATAATTAAATAGAAAGCGTCAAACAGAATCAAAATAAATTTTATGATAGAGTACATTCAGAATGCATTAATTCAAAAGAAAAAAAATATCGTTGAATTCAAAATTTGCATCATGTAAAAAACACTTAAATAATATTTTGCTTTGGCCCTTGCTCATAATGTAATGTTAGTTGAGTAACTCTTTGCAACCTGTTTTCTTTAGCTTTTTGGATTTTCAAAACCTTCTTCATAATCTTCTACTCTACCAAAAATGTTTGAATAATCCTATTAACAAAAATGTAGTAGCATATCAATCAATCTAATGAGATAAAAGAGAACTCTATTATAACAAAACCAACCTTTTCCGGACGGATCCACCAAATAGAACATCACCATAAGCACGATGAACTGTCATGGGATTCCTTGCTAATCTACTTCTATTGTACTCAGTTGGTCTTAAGTGAGGAATCTAAATCTGAATATACCAAAAAGTGCAATCAGCCTCCATTAACATTAAGCAATTATATCGAAAGTGCATGCCATCAACTACAACCGAGGAAAAATTAAGAATAAAATGAATAAAACTATGTAAAAACCAATGAAATTTTATATATATCACATATAATATTATGTCATGACATTGTCTATTTTGACATGTAAAAGAAGAGACCCAGGATCCAAAGTTTTAGAAAGGAAATCCAACATAAGTACATAACACATGTTGATAGTAAAATTCTACAACCCACACCATTTAACATCAAAATTCCATCCACATCCAAGGCTGATTATTCTTTTTTTATTATGTTATATGAAAGTAAAATCAATTTTATATAACGAAGAAACATAAACAAGTTAAAACTCTATCCATATGTTGACACTTATTATGTGTTGTGTTGATCAAAGTTGAAACTGCCAATCTTCAATGCGCCTGATTTAAACTATAACAAAATGGTCAGTGCGCATGATTGAAATATATGAATTTCTCTCCACAAAAACTGTATCTCTATTTGAAATACAAAATCAAATGACCGTTCCCAATAAAGCAAATTCCTCATAACTTTTAGTGAAGAACTTACCGGTGAGAGTCAAGCCTTGGAGATGTAGTTAGATTTGTATACAAAGGATTTGTGTAATAGAATATAAATACGGGGTGCAGAAGTTTCTGTGTGTGTTTAATAACTTTTGATCTTGCAGAGACATTTAGATATAATAACAATTCAATTAAATTAAAATCATTATAAGTTGATTTATGAAAGTTTTTGTTAAAACAAATTAATGAAAGGGTACATTAACATACAAGTAGATTTAAAAAGGCTTAGAAGAAAACGATATCTTCACATTAAGTGCAATGGGCTAGATAACCAATAAGAATAGAACATCATAAAAAGCCAAAAGTGATCCAATTATTGAGAAAAAGATGCATCAAATAAACAAATGATAAGTTTACCATAACCAAAATTACGAAAGTTGATGACAATAATCTAAAAACAAAACAAAAAAAACCGTAAAGTGTAGCACATAAAATTTCAAAAATACAAATATAAATGAAAATAATGATCAGATAACTGCAAATTTACTTGGAGCAGCAATAGAAACTAACAAGGGGAAAAGGCATATTTGTTTAAGCATCTTAAAGAATCACAAGTTCTATGATCAAGAAAAAGCTCTATGAAAATTCTAATGTATGAATCAAAAGGCCAAGCAATGGATCCCCTTGATTGAAATGAAAATGAAATAATTTTTCACTTAAAACAGAAAAAATGTTATCCAAAATGAGACTATAAATATTGTTTTTGAAGAATTAAAGAACTTATACTAAGCTTCAATAAGCTCCAAGCTAGTTAATCTGTCTAACTTGGTTTTGTAAAGAAAAAAAACCACTTTCGAATAATTCAAGTTGGTGATTTCATGAGAGAGATGGCATTTAATTCATAATTTCACATTTCTACGCCTAATTGGAGGGATTTGGGAATTATTTTTCATGAGAACAGAACTTGGTTATGTTATGAAACATGCATTGGTAGTCAGGCAATTTGAAAAAGCAAAATCAGAAATCACCCATCATGAGAAAAAAAATATAATGCTAACTGAAGCATCAATCATAGAATCAAATTTATAAGAAATTGCAAAATTTATAGCCATAATAATAAAGAAAAACTCATAAAATGCAAAAGAGAATGATTGACTTAAAATTGAGACACAACAAATCACATTAATCAAATATAACATAACCATTATTTAAAAAACAACAACAACATCAACATTTTATCTCCCAGCTTGAAGAACAACTTACAAACCATAAAGAGCGAATCTTTTCAAGTTACAAAAGAAAAAAAAAAGCTTCCAGTTCAACTACACAAGCCATGGTGGAATATTTTCTTTTAATTAAACTATTCCTTTTCCTGATCCTATAGCTGCAAGGTTTTAAGTCAACATAATCAGATTTCTAAACCTGAATCCATCTTCTACAGCACATCTTCACGTTAAAAAAATCCATCAATGATAAAAGAGCTTCTCTTTATTTTTCTAAGTTTGCCCAGTTTGGTCCATCAATTGGAATCACTACGCCTTTTCAAAACTCAAACGTAAATCTCTATATATCAATCATAAATCCACTATCTAGCTATTTGGCTGAACAGAAATTTTTCTAAATTTCTTATTAATAAAAGCTAGTTATAAACAAATTTTGTAACAGAAATAATAAATTTAAAAACTAATTTAGGGTAAAATTTTGTCACAGAAATAATAAATTTCAAAACTAATTTAGGGTAAAATATATGATCACCTTTATCCACAAGTGCTAAAGCTCTCTTCCTTCTACAAGAATTCTCAACACAAGTGAAATTTCACCTTACTCTCTCTGCAGAATATGTGAGCATCATCCTACAGACAACAAAAGCATTTCTTCTCATCAAGATGGTAGATAAATGTTCTTAAAGTGCTTCGATAAAGAACAACCATCAAACTCAACAACAAAGTTTACCTACTGCAATCTTCTAACACATGTTAATCCAATAAGAGCACCACTTTGCTCATTCCTATGAATAACTCCAACATCTGCCGAACGAAGAGAAAACTCTGTAGAAACAAACAAAGTAATAAATTAAATCTACATTAATAACTAAATCTCAGCTATTTGGGGTCAAATACCTAATAGTGTTGTTCTCATGCGAATTCAGTGCAAAATGGGCCTAACTGCCTCAGCTTCTTTGCTAGATTCAATCGAAATTTATTCTTTAGTTTATCAAAATCCTAAGAATCCTTCAGACCAAGGAGAA